AAGGGGGGAGCGGGAGGGGCTGGGGGAGCAGGACCCACCTGCACGTGGGGCTGGGGGAGCGCAGGGCTCCCTCCGCGCTGCTCCACCGCACCCCGTGGCACAGCACCCCTCCAGGGTCCCCCTCAGCCCCAGTCTCCAGGCTTGGGAGGTTTGGGAGGGACAGGAGAAAGAGGAAAAACCTCATTCTGTCACGCTCCCTATCCCCCTCCTCGCCCCGTCCGCGGGGACAGGCACCCGCACGTGCCCCCGCGCAGCGAGCGGGGGCTTCATCCCCCCGTGGGGGCACGGCCCTTCGCCCCGCAGCCTTCCCCCGCCCCAACTCGTGTCACCACCTGGCAGCTACACGTGCAAATCAGACGGGTTAATTTGCACGTCTGTCCTCATCAGCTCTCGTTAAAACACTGCACCCCGCTCCTGCCTCGGCATCGGGGTCCCACGCGCACCGCGACAGCCCCCGGCTGCAGCTCAGCTACGGCACCAGCCTGGGGCTTGCCGGCCCGGCTAACGGAGCAGCGCGGCGGCTCTGGCTCAGTCCCTCTGGCACAGCGTCACCGCTCGCCCCTCGCACAGCCAAAAGACAGGATAGAGGGGCTCGGTGAAGACGTTGTGGAAGGAGTGGATGAGCCGCATCCTCTCCCCGAGGCCGTAGAAGGAGAGGAGCCCCTTGCCGTAATCCAGGCAGACCCCCAGGGTCTTATACAGCAGCTCCTGGATTTTCTCCGCCCGGCCCTTGTGCCAGGCCAGGTAACAATCCTCCCGCACCTGCAGCCCCCACGAGCCCCCGTCCATCCCGATGTTGAACTTGTGGCCCTGCTGCCACTGCCGGGGGAGGCTGCGGTAGGTGACCCCCAGGACGACGGAGTGGCTGGAGATCTTCAGATCCCAGTAGTGGTGGCCGTGGCTGTAGCCCTGCGTGCACAGCGCCTGCCAGGGCTCGAAGCGGGGTCCCTGCTCCTGCCGCCCGTGGATGGCGCTGGGGCCGTGCTTAGCTTTCCGGTTACCTTTTGACAGCTCCAGGTACCTGTTGGCCGTCTCGGGATCGAAGGTCAGGTTGCAGTGGTCTGGGAAGAGCAACAGCGCAGCTGGGGCTGAAATGCTTCATCAGACCTTTGTGCCCTTGGCGTGAGCCCCCCCAAAGGTGATGCGGCTTAAACTGCGTAGGGCTGGCTCCCAAAATAGAAGGGAAAAGTTGTGGCACGTTTGGAGGGGAAGGGGAGCGGGGTGAGATGCGATACCTGCCCGCCCGCCTGCTAGAAGGAACGGAAACAGCCCAGAAATAGCTGGCGAGGCACCGAGATGCGGCGCTTGGTGCAGCCCCTGCGCAGCCCAGCTCACAGCCAGCAAGCAGCGGGGGCTCCCTGCTCATTTTGGAAGAGATATGCTTGGTTTTAAGAGCAAAAAATATGAGCGTGGGTGGGGAGAGGGGGAGAAACCAGGCGTTAAATGAGCAAATATGGTATTGCGGGGAGACGCTCTCCTCTGCACGGGCTGCGGTAACTCCTCCTGCCGCGGGCGCTTGCTGGCCACCAGCACCTCGCCTTCCTCCGGCAGCAACGTGGCCCGGGCAGCTACGCTGGGCTCACGCCTGCTGCCCAGAAATAACATGGTTTTTCCTATTAATAACCCTGAGGACGTTTTGTGGGGCCTGACAGAAGGAATCCTTACAGGTCCTACAGGCATCAATTGCTTCCCCTGCAAGAGCGAGGTGACCGACACGCCCTGAACGTTACCCAACAGGGAGGAGATGGGAAAAGGAGCGCTGAGGAAATCCCTAAGGAATTGAAGTGGGATGGGCCCACGGAGGGAAGGGGACATGCAGGACTGCAGCTGGGAGTGCTGGGGCCATACCCCTGGACAGAGCAAGGACTGCAGGCAGGGCTCTGCAGGCGGGGCTCTGCAGGCAGGGCTCTGGACTGGCGCTGTGCTGTGCGGGGCGGCTGGGGCAGCCCACGACACATCCCTGTGGGTGCTCGCTTGCCAGCTGCTGACGCTGCCTGCCTGCCTGCCTGCGGGAAAGCGCTGTGTCTAAATATGGGCCGTGGGGAACAGGCACGTCGCTCCTGCCCGGGCAAGGCGCCCGAGGCGGGTGAAAAGGAGAGGATGGAGATGGGGCAAGATCCGGGGCAGCAACTGACCCAATGCCGGGCACCGGCAGCCCCAGATTCCATGCGAAAGTGTTCCCTGGTGCCACTAATCCCCCTAACGAGCCCTTTCCCGGCTGCGCCATGTCCCCCAGCCCATCCACCCTGCCCCTGCAACACCCTTCTCCGCATTCAGGGAGAGGGATTGGGAGAACCAGGGAAGGAGCCCCGTCACCGCAGCCACGCCACCCTCCTCCCAGGGAAGAGCTCGGCTTGGTGAAATCTCTGCCTGCCGGGGACCCCAGCGGGTGCTGTCCCTCCAGACCCCCACGGGCTCCTCACCCTTCAGAAGCTCAGCTCGGAGCTGGCACTGGGGGAGAGCAGCCACCACCTTCACTGCCGGCCTCTGGGGATGCACCGGGCCTGTGGAGAACAGGGACGGGCATTTTGAGTGATGCCGCCCAAAAATTTGTTCCTTCCAGGCTTCAATGGGAGGAGGAGGAGGAGGAGGAGGAGGAGGAAGTCCGTTGTATCCAAGCCTGGGAGCGGGCACGTGCCACCGCGGCTTGGCATTGCCAGCAAGGAGGGGCCACAGGGAAGCCACCCAGCTGATCCCACCCACTGATACCCATCTGCTGAACAGTAGATGCGTGGCCCCATCCCACCCCCCTGTGCCCAGCAGCCATGTCCCCAGCATGGTGACAGGGGCCAGGCTGTGGTTCAGGATGACCTGGAGCCCTTCGGGGTGGCCCTGCGAGCAGAAGGGTTACCTTGGCCAACGGGGTCGGGGGCTTTGGGGGCCACGGAGCCGGGCAGGTCCTCCAGCAGGAGCCTGGAGATGTTGGTGAGGACGTCAGTGATGGGCTTGACCACGCCGGCCACATCAAACTCCATGGGGAGCAGCGCCTCCGGGCTCTCTGGAGGTGGGAGCAGGGGGAACTCCTGCAGACAGACACACAGACACCCATGCACCGGCCTGGGGAGGATTGGCAGCTCTGAATCCCATCTGCACGCACCGCGTCTCCCCAGTGGGTGACGGGGGCATCCCCAAAACGTCTGCCGTTAGCCGCGGCTGGCGCGCAGGGCCAGGGGCCAGTCGCAGGGGAGCGTGGGGCTGCGGGGAGCAGAGGGGCTGCGGCACAGGGCTTTGTGCCTTGCTGGCGGTGGAAGAGCCTTGCTGAGCGGTTTGGGGGCGGGAGATGCTGCCCATGGCCCTGCGGGCAGCACCACCTGCTCCAATCCAGCATCGCCGCCTGCCCCAATCCAGCATCGCCCCCCCACTTTTCAGGGACCCCCCCCCGAGAGCAGCTCTTCCCCTCAGCCCTGCGGCGGGCTGAGCCTGCGTCGCCCCTGGGGAAGGGCTCGACCACGTCTCTGCCCTCACCAAAAGGACGCGGGGCCGGCAGCGCCCAGGCACGGGGAGGGATGGGGCGCCAGGACGGTACCTGGAGAAAGGTCCTGTGGTCGGGGCAGGCCAGCAGGCGCTGAGCCCTCTCCCTGTGCTGGCCGAGGACGTCCAGGCGGTCCTTCAGGAGGCTCCAGTCCTCCTCCACACGCCCGAGCGCCGCTGCCTGCTCTTGCTCGATCCTGGCCACCGTCTGCCACTGGCAATCCTCCAGGGCTTTCCTCAGGAGGGCGAATTTGCTCAGAATCACCGACTGGAGCCCCTCGGAGGAGTCCTGGCAGGGAAGAGCCGTGAGAGCCAGCACGCTCCCACCCGCATGCCCGGCAGGGAGGCGGCCGCGGTGCTACCTTGATGCTGTGCATTCGTTCCTCCAGCTCCTGCATCGCCCGCTCGATCCTCTCCGATTCCTCCTCGGCTTTTTCCAGGGACTCTTTCAAAAGGGCCTGTGAAGGGAGGCACCAACACCCTGCGGCGCAGCATGCTGCCGCCCGCCCGGGCCCCGGAGCCCTCGCAGGGCTGCAGGACAAGGCTCACAGGGAAGGAGAAGGTTTGGGAAGGGGAGAAGCTGCGACCAGGGTCACCGAGAAGTGAAACCCCGTGCTGTCTTTCACCAATTTTTAGCTGTTGCCCCTAGATTGGGGGTCACAAACACCTATGGCACCGTTCATCCGGTGCTGCTGGATTTACCCAGCTCTCTGCTGCTCCTGACAGCCCCTGGTTTCTTGGGGAGCAGACGGGCGCTGGTGGCATCTCCCCAGCCAGAGCCTGTGCCAGCCCCTTGTTCAGCTGAGGCTGGGCACAGCTCGGGGCGCAGAGGCACGTCGCACCCCCACAGCAGGGCGTGGGACAGCGGAGGGGGATGTTGCACCATGCCCGAGCTGCCGTGGCTCCCCTGCCACCCATTTTCCCCACCTGCTTTTTAGAGCGCTCCTCCTCAAAGAGCACCCGCCGGTGCTGCTGGCACTGCCGGACAGTGCAGACACAGCAGATGCACCGCCGCTCCTCCTCGCAGTACAACTCCAGCGGGCGCCCGTGCTGCGGGCACAGCTCGCCATGGGCCACCTCACACCTCTCTGTGCCCGAGACCCGTGCCTCGCCGTCCCGCGCCAGCTCCACCACGCTGCACAGGGTGACGTTCTTCTCCAGCTCCGGGTGCTGCTCGAAGGCCCTGCGGCACTCGGGGCAGGTGTAGCCCTTCTCGGCCCTGGCGGGCGCCTGCTCTTGCTTGTGCCAGTGGCCATTGATGCAGCGCTTGCAGAAGTTGTGCCCGCAGGGCAAGGTGACGGGCACCCGGAACAGCTCCAGGCAGATGGAGCACACCAGCTTCTCCTCCAGCTTCTGTGAGACGGGCGATGCCATCCTGCCTGCGCCGGGGAGCGGGGCGATGGGGGAAAGAAGCCGGGGAAATAGAAACTCAGCTGTGCAGAGGAGGAAGAGATGGTGACGCTGAGCCCAGAGGCGGGCCAGGGCTCCGAGCCAGGCACGCTCTTAAAGAGACACCCAGTGGGTGCCCCCTCGGCTCCGCCACACGCTGGGGAGACTACAGGGAGGGTCGGAGCTGCTCCGCCCAGGCACCGGGAGAGCGGCAAAGCACAGCAGGAGGCCCCGGGGAGGATGAAACGCTGCAGCGACAGCACAGGCAGACACAGGCGAGAGGCTGACAAGGTTCAGAGCAACGTGTATTTCCAGGCATGCATTTGCACGGGTACACATATGATGGATAATTTGGTTTCACTCCTCTTTTGCCCTTGGAGGAAGCGGAGTCTTTTGCCCGGAGGCGACTGCGGTGCCTGTGCACTGCGTACCTTCACCTTCTCTTCATACAGTTCAGTTTCAGGGAAAAAAGCTCCCAACCTTCCAGTCCAAACCTCAGCTCCTTCCCCTCGCAGATGCGCTATCGCTTGCGCACACGCTCCCAGGCAGCTGGACGCCGGCAGGACGGCCTCGGCTTGCAACGGTTCTGCAGCCTCCCCACCCGCGCGGCTTTGCTTTCAGCCGTGAGGGCGAGCGGGGACGTCAGTGCTGCAGCCGGGGCGCTCGCCAGCGAGCTGCTGGGGGCTCGGAGCAGTTTCTGTGTCACGGGCTGGCTCGGAGCCACCCCCGAGGCTGCCCCTGGACTCAGGAGGTGACTTGGGACCTGTCACAACTCCCTGCGTGTCCCAGCGTAGCTTCAGCCCCCAAACATTTCTTTAGGTTGAATCTGCAAATTCTGACCAAATATTCAGAGGTCAGAGAGAGGCGTAACACGCCCTGCGTGTCTGCCTGGAACCACAGGACACGCGCGCTCCCGCCGCGGTCACCTCACCAGCTCATCCACCCCGGCTTAAACCGGACCCCGGAGCCCTTCGGGGAGGGAGAAGAGTTCAGGGAGCTCAGGCGCAGCTGGTGACGACCCTGAGCAACGGCAGCGGGGCGGCATTTCAGCACCATCCCTGTTGTTTGCTAAAGGCTCCGATGTCCTGAGGAAGGGGGGATCCTCAGAGAAAGTTACTGGGAACCAGAGCTGGGAACAGGCAGCTGCAACAGCAAGAGCACGTTGGCATTTGGGGGTTTAAACATGTGCGCGGGGGATGCGCAGAGCCTGCAGAGCACAGCAGAAGGCTCTCCACAGCTTGGGTACAGGACTGGCAGCAGCCAGGCCACCACCCTGCGCCTGCCCCACCCCCAGCAGCTCGGCAGCTCTGCTTTTGCTCCACCATTCCACACCGCGTACGCGCTGCCCGGGAGCGCAGGGAAGGAGACTACGGACCACGTGCTTGGGTAGCTGTTGGGAGAAGCCAGCTCCACAAACGCTGACCGCGTGCAGGTTTACCACCTG